TCTATATTGACCAAATTTAGTTTTCCAACTTTTAGTTGCTGCTGTTTTCCTTGAAGTGATTTCATTTTGGTTATATATATATTAGAAGCATCAAGTTTATAATTGGGGTGTGTGTGTGTGTGTGTATGATTGTGTGTGTGCAGATGTGTATGTGAGTGTGTGCCACAGCTATTGGCACCTGTCTAGTGGTCAGAAGACAATTTTGGGGGGTTGGTTCTATCTCTCATTCCACTATGGGTTTCTAGTGAGGTTGCAGAGGGTAGAAAGCCAACTTAGGTCATCAGGCTTGCATGGGCAGTACTTTTAACCAGTGCACTATCTTACTGGCCTATTTAAACCTCCCTTTTAAAGTACTAATTTTAAATAATAATAGTTCCTTTCTTATTTTACTTCCTAGAATTCTGTGAAATTTATGTGATGCAAGAACAAGCTGTTGTGTGATATTTTGTTTGTGTCCTGACAAATGAAACTTGCATGGAAATCAGAGGGCAGAGCTAGTTACTAGTTAACTATAGAAGCTGGGCTTGGGTGGGGGGGTGGGGGAATGGGGGATGGGGGGTGGGGGGGTGGGTAGCTCACACCTTTGATTCCAGCACTTGGAAGGCAGAGAGAGGAAGTGATAAGGCAGGGCAGAGACAGGCTCTCAGCTTTTTGAATTGAGGACAAAGACAGGAAGGAAGGAACTGGTGGCTGCTCCCAGTTCTCTGATCTTCCAAGTTTTACCTGGATATCTAACTCCTGGTTTTTATTGACTAAGATCAGATTCATGCTTCATCTTCTAGTATCCAATGTGGCATCATCTTTATCTTCACCATCATTATCAGCAGATCTGGGGAGACAATTGGTGCATTAGTTTTTTAAAAAAGTTTTTCCCACCTTAAAAAATGGGAAATACTATGACAATGGAGGGAGTTAGGTCTCTGTATGATTACACAATGGATGTTTTAAAAAAAGAACAATTAAATGATGGGATAATTAACTTAGATGTAACTTATATAATGTCATTATAAACATTATTGGTTTCATTATTCTTGTTTTATTCCTAAAATGTTGATTGATATAAGTGCTGAGTTTGTACAGGCCTTTCAAAAAGTTAGTAAAGAAAAGAAAGCCATTTGACTGATAAGTTACAAGCCTAAAGAGATATTCAGATAAAGACAGAGGAATTTAAAGGAGAACTAACCTCAGCATTATATTATAAGGTTAGAGAGGAACAGTCCAATATTTTCAAACAACTGACCTTAATTTATCCAGTCACCAACAGGAACTGCCAAATGACAGGCATCTCCAAGGCTGTGTAAGAGCTGACTGGGTTCTTGTGGAAATGATAGATTTGAGGAGATTTAAGGAAGTAATAGTCTCATATAGTATGCATTTACCTTTTGGGAAGCAGATATAAATTTTATGGTCAATTAGTAATGGAATTGTCACACAAGACTGGAAATACTTGGTTACAGCAGTATTGGTGACTAGTAGTCAACTGCAGTGGAGAACCTGGTGGAAAGATGAGGCTAAGACCATTGAACAATGAACTAGGTAGGGTTAGATGTATGAAAATCTCCCAAGACCAACTTCTTAGGGAAGGCGATTATGCTGATGTACAAAAACAGTCTCATATGATGATCACTCCTTGGCTCTATGTTGTGCAGCAGCTTTGAATGTTTGGGATAGAATTGAAGAAGTTGGAAAGAGAATTGAGTCATTTACTAAAGTTATACAGGGACCAAAAGAATCTCCACTGTTTTCTTTTTTCTTTTCCTTTCTTTCTTTCTTTCTTTCTTTCTTTCTTTCTTTCTTTCTTTCTTTCTTTCTTCCTTCCTTCCTTCCTTCCTTCCTTCCTTCCTTCCTTTCTTTCTTTCTTTCTTTCTTTCTTTCTTTCACAAAGATTGATTTCAGCTGTAAATAGAATAATATAAAATTCAGAAGATAGACAAATAATAATTGAATCTTTGGCTTTTGAAAGTGCTAATTCACAGTGCAAAATGGTAATTAGGCCTTTAAAGGCAAGAACAGCATCCATAGAGGAAAGGATCTGAGATATAGTCAATATTGAATCTCATAACTATGATGATGCTTGGATAAGAGAAGTGATTTACAGAGGCTTAAAGATAAATAAAAACACCAGAGTTTTAATTGTGGCAAACAAGGTCACCTAAAAAGGAATTGTAGGCAGGGTGTTTGTAGAAACAATGTTTTTGCTATGAATAATCCAAACAGAAGGCTCCTCCTTTCTGGAGTATGCAGAAGGTGTGGCAATGGCAGACAATGGACCAATGAATGCAGATCAAGAGGAACAGACAAGGTAACCTTTGCCATCTGGAAACACCTTGGGAGGCCTCTTGTGGAACACTCGTCAAATTTGATTCAGTCATTCACTCTTGGGGGGAATTCCTCCCTGGAGCAATTAAAGGACATAATGCATATTATAAAAAAAAAACCATACTGCTCTGGATGATAGAACAGCTTTAGAAGATAAAACAAAAAGTTCAGGAGAATCCATAAAGCAAATACTATAAAGATTAGATTTGGACAAGAGAGACCTCTTCATTGGAAGAGGCGATAGTTTATCAAATAACATGGCCATTCACTCTAAACTAATTTATAAGACCAACAAATGAATTTCATTAGATCAGATATGACTTGCCAAAAAGGGACCTCTCCAAAGTAAGGGTTGTGGCAGGGTTTTGCTTTGTCTTTTTAGGAGAATGAAGGCATCCAGGTAATATGGAAACCACTGGACAAATGAGACATCTGAAGAAAAAGGACAAATAATTCAGAGAAAATGTCCAAAGAAAAAGAATAAATTGGCCTATTTGTATATCACATATCCAACAGGATAAAATAAATCTTCCCAAATGTTTATTTTTCTGTTCTTTATAGACTTATAATGTGAATGGTCTTTTTATAGTCCCAATTCAATTACAAATTATAGCTGAAGTTGAAGTTGGAGTGTGGCTCTCTCTTTCTTTAAACTCAAGCATGCTTGTTAAAGGAAAATCAAAAATCTCTGTCTCATGTCAGAAGAGTCACCTGATATGGAACAGAAGAAAAATCAGGACTATTCTATTGCCACTAATCTCATAATACTTTGGTTTTATTTTGAGTCTTAAAAATTTTTCTTGTTCAAATAGTTATGGATATTTGTCATCATTTAGGGTTGTTGGTTATTGGTAGTGATCAGGAAAAAAGCTGAACAAAGGAGATTAGATTCAGGGATCTTTTTCTGAAAAGAAAAATCGGAGGATATAGAGATGATAGGATAAAAGGGTAAATCCTTTTAGATTTACATTTTAATCTAAAAAGTGAGTACTAGTCTAAATACTTTATATTGATATGGATTTTTGTATATTGATACAAATTTGAGGTTATTTTTATTAGAATCTATGTTTCTACTCTTGTTTAAGGTATTGCACCTATACAACTTATTTAAGGACATAATGTAAATTTCAAGTATTTGAAAGTTATTATTACAACTAGGATAATAAAGAAATGAAGGTTAGTAGTTAGTCACCTATTATAATCAAACTTGTCGTCATATTAGGTATGTTTTCAAGGTCAAGCAGCAAGCAATGTATTTTAGGCAGATAGGTGGTCTTCAAACACTTTAGAGAGCCATAGAATATGTCATTTAAGATGTTTTTAATAACATAATTTTTTTAAATGACAATGAGTCACATCTTCTCCTGGCAGTACCAATCTACTTTAGAAAAGAAGATGGGCATCAATGAAACTCCATATGAAGTTTATTTTCTTTTTGACAGAAGTTAGCCACTGGACAAGAAAGTGCCCTTGCCTCAACTACTGACAGCATGCTGTCCAAATTGGACAAGCACAATACAAAAGAAATCACTGCTGAACTTCATCAAGACAAGGTAGGACAGTCCTTCAGAATATCCTGCTTCACAGAAACCTCTGTCAGATATCTAGGTCTGCAGGCCGAAGATGAATACCCCAAAGTTGTAGAGGAACCTTAGGTGACTGTCCAGGCAGCTAGCTGATTCTGTCATTTCTCACATTTTTTGGAAGTTGCTTGATTGCACTTCTTTATTACTCAGTTAACATTATTTCCTTCTCGGATCTCTGATGGAGTTGAAGACTAAATAGTTATAGTTTTCCTTGTTAACAAATTCAGAAAAAAAGTCACAAAAGAGGTATAAATTTTATAAGGTTGAGAGACATAAAAGGATAGTTTTGGGTTGGTGATACAAGTGAGGATATGAAGTAAATTAGGTACAATGCTTTAGATTCCCTAAGATAGGATAATGGAATGTTTTCTCCGAATTTGTCAAATGGTAATGGACTAGACAGTGTAATTATTGCCTGTATATAATTACATATATTGTACTTACTTTATATATAGTTTTTTCTATGTTAGTTAAAACTTTCTTTTTAGTAAAAAAAAAGGGGGAATGTTGTGTGATATTTTGTTTGTGCTCTGACACAACTTGCCTGGAGGTCAGAGGAGCGTAACCGTGGAAGCTGAGAGGTTGAGGCTCATGTCTTTAATCTCAGCACTTGGGAGGCGGAGGCAGTGATCTCCCTGAGTTTGAGGCCAGCCTGGTCTACAGAGTGAGTTCTTAGAATCACTTGCAAAAGTTGTAAGGGGGAAAACGCTAAGCAGCTTGGTAGTTTCTGAAATAAGAATGGAGAACAAAGTCTTCAGGTTTACGGTTTAACTTTCTGAGATGCACGGGCCACCCAAAATTGCTGATCTTTTCGCCGACCTGGATCCTCAACCATTGCTGCCTGTTTTAGAGCAGGCTCTTGTGCTGTTCCTCGAGACTGTCCGCTTGCTCGGCTCTAGCACACGGTGACACGCGTGGGGCCTGGCCTTTACCGCGGAACTCAGCGTGGTGACTGACGTGGGCAAGGGGCTCCCAACAGCACCCGGCCAATCCAAGGGGCCAGAGAGGCAGCGGGCCGAAGGGGTACTTGATTGACAATTGAGATGACCAATGAAAACAGAGGACAGAGAGGCTTCCGCCCTAATGGGCCGACTGTTGGCAATTTCCAGCCAATCGCGGCCAGAAGCTTCTGTTTGGTGGGTGGTCCGCGCGGCCGTGGAGGTTGGCGGCTGTTGAGCGGGTCTCCCGGAAAAGGCCCTGGGCGGAACATCTCGGTCGGAAGAGAAAATGAGTTTAGCTCTGAGGTCGGTACCGAGGAAGCCGTGCCTGCACTCCGCGCAGGGCCACGGGGCGTGGAAGGGAGGCCGGGCCGAGCGGCACCGGAGCGCCGAGCACCCCGCGGTCCCCGCCTCCCGGCCGCCCTGCCCTGGGGCCCTTCGCACCGCCGCGCCGGGAGCGAAGTCTCGCGAGGTTTCCGTCCTTCGTGAGCGGGGCCCGGGCCTGGCTGCCGCCTTCCTGGGGCAGTTGAGGCCCGGCCCGGTTCATCCCGGTCCGAGCGCTGCGCTCGCCCACCCGGGTGGGTCTGGTGTCCTCGCTCCCTCCCGTCACGTCCGGACACCACCTTCCCCATTGGCTCATCACCCTGTCCATGTACACTCGCGGGCTGGGCACTGCCGCGCAGGGCGACGCTGGTGGCCCGGGCGGGGTGTGGCGGGCACCCAGGGCCGCCACCTTCATCCCCTCTGTCCCTTAGAAGTTAGCCGCTCGCACATTCACTCTGCTAGGTTTCTGGCTATAAAGCTTCCATCTTTTCAAAACGTGCGGATACACGTGTAGTGCCCTCATTTAAACATTTGGCCTGCTTTTGCATTGGCAGCCTTTAAGGCAGACGCTTTCGGCTCGAAATACCCTTTTTAGATGATCTTTTACGCTTCTACAGAGTTTTTAAATGAAGACGTTTAACCTATCGTTTTATCTGTTAAGTGAGAGTTACAGCTGTTTTAAACATCACATAGACTAAGGCACGAACATTAGCTGCTGTTCGTATGCCCGTCTAGTATTTGTATGTTCATGTGCTTTTATGTTTTGGCTGGTTAATATCAATGGAATAAAAACACAAAGCACTGTTAGAAACGTATAATCTAAAAGCATTTTGAACTTACATCACTAAAGTGCCTTACCTAGTAATTGTGAGAACTGAATTAGAAGCTGTCCAAGGTAAACCAAATACAGCACAGCTGTCATTTATGAAGTTTACTTTCCTATGGGCTGTTCTGTTTTCATGGTCTTGGTAGGTGACATGAATAATAACTATAGTGTTTTGGATGCTGGTTTATACATGTACACTTCAGGACGCTGATTTAGGGACAGTTTATTCTCCAGACTACTCTATTTTGCTGAAATTTAGAAAGCCATTCTTTGTCCTAAGTGAGGTGAGATGAAGTGGACTAAACACATTTTTCTGTGTCATAGAAGTGATCTTGTAGTAGACAAAACAAAGAGGAAAAAGCGAAGAGAGCTCTCTGAAGAACAGAAGCAAGAAATTAAAGATGCCTTTGAGCTCTTTGATACCGACAAAGACCACGCGATAGATTATCACGAATTAAAGGTAACAGTGTACTTGATAACACATGGCTTTTGTTTAAACGAATCTCTTTGTTGGCTGTTGCTTTAAAGTCTATTTTAAAAGCTTGTTTTAGAGCTGTGAGGCTGTTTTCAGCACCCACCTACAGGTGCTGCACTAAAACTGAGTAAGAACCCTAATGTGGCTTTTAGAAGCTTGTATTTAAGTGTGAAGGGACATCCTGGTGGAAAGGATGGCTTTTCATTCACCCAGGTGCGGTGTGGGAAAAGAAGGGACAGATCTTAGCATACTCTTCCCTTTTTTGGTTTCCTTTGGAGGACGATAGCGCTCAGATTTAAAACCATGTAGGTGTCCTGTGCAGGCATGCACACCACATTGTGTCGTGTGTGGAGGGCAGACCTGTGCTTTGTGTATCTTTCATCACTGTTCATCTTCTTGCCTGGAGACAGGGAACCTCACTGAACTGGAAGCTCATCACTTCGCCTAGGTTGGCTAGAGTGAACTCTGGGAACCAGACCTGTATCCACCCTTCAGTGCACTTGCAGCCCTGCCTGTCCTTTATGTGGGTGGTGGGGATTCCATCTCTGCCTCTCATGGCTGCAGGGCCAAGCCCTCTTAACCATTGAGCTATCTCTTTGGCGCAGCATAGACAATTTTGAGATTAAGAGAATGTCGCCTCTGATCTCTAAAATATATAAGAATGCAAGAAACTAGACAAAAAAAATACCAAGTAATTCAATTAAAAAGTGGGGTGGAGAGCTAAACAGAATTTTCAACAGAAGAAACACAAATGGCTGAAAGACACTAAAGGAATTGTTCAACATCCTTAATCATCAGGGAAATGCAAAGCAAAGTGACTCTGAGATACCATTTCATACCTGTCAGAATGGCTAAGATCAAAAATACTGATGACAACTTATGTTGGAGAGGATATGGAGTTAGGGAAACACTCCTCCATTGCTGGTGGGAGTACAAGCCTGTACAGCCACTTTGGAAATCAGCTTTATGCATCAGCCAATAAAACAACATATATATACACACACACACACACACACACATCTCACATCAGAAGATGTTGTCTTTCCAGCTTTTATTTTTATTTTTTTGATGCAGGCTTTATTTTTGTAATAGCCTTGGTTGTCCTGGAACTTACTTTGTAGACCAGGCTGACCTTGAACTCACAGAGATTTCCTTGCCTCTTCCTCCCAAGTGCTGGAATTAAAGGTGTGCATCATCTCCACCCAGCTCTATCTTTTTTTAATTTTTAAGATAATCCTAACACACTCTTAGTGTGCTTTTCTTTGCTACAAAGGATGTAAATTGTCTAGTGCCTAATGTTGAGGGCCATGTCAAATTTAAGGCTTAAAATTACTAGTATAGATAGTAGGGGAAATTGATGAGAGTCTTACATATTTTACATTCCACTTAGTAAGAAAGAGAACATTTTGAAATCGTTAAGTAGCCTTAAATGTTTATTTAGGAGTTTTAATGGCAATCCAAGTAGGGGTAGGAACTATATAGTGAGAGGATAGAATATCTAAAAGTAATGCTAGGCCTGGCCCTTTAGCCTCTGCCTTGAGTTCCTCCTTTAGCTTGTTCCCCATCACACTCTGTTGTTGCTGCCGCCATTCTCCAGCCACATAGCATGAGTTATGCCTGTCCAGTGTCTTAGCTGTTTGTTGTCTTTGACTCCCATGCTTTGGGATTTTATTTCATAGCTGGAGCTTCTTCACTTCTGGTTTGCCTTTTCACAACCTTAAGTTAAGTTTATGTCTTTCTTCAAGTCTTTGGCCGTGTTCATTGCTCATAAACCTTGACTGGCTGCTCCCTGCACACTAAGGAAAGATCCCTCTACCTGGATTTTCTATTAAATGCTATATACATATATATATTTTTCTCATCACTTTTCTCACTTGCTTCTACCCAAACTCTTCCCATCTTGAGAAGGTAAGCAGCCCTGTCTTTTCTGTCCTTCCTAGTTTTGGCTCAGCATCTATTGTAGTCCCACATCCTTTCCACCAACTCTGCCCTGTTCATTAAGGAGTGATTTGACTCTCTTAAGATTTCACTATCTAGTGACACATCTCTTCTTTCCTGGTACTAACAGCAAAATGGCTTCAGTTTAAATTACTCTGAAAAGAATCTGGTGGCTAATCATGGTCGCTCCAATGGAAATGCTGTTTGTTGGGTTTTGAGAAAGGATTTTCTGTAACATGAGGTGGCCTGCTTGTTGGGGTTTCTGTCTTGCCTGGTTCCCCACAGCCAGCAAGCCCCAAAGAAAATCACACAGAAAACTCCCTAAGATTATAAACTGATTGGCCCATTAGCTCAGGCTTCTTGCTAACTCTTATGAGTTATATTAACCCATTATTCTTATCTATGTTAGCCACATGGCTCAGTACCTTTCTCAGCTGGGCAGGTTACATCTTACCTTTCGATGGTCTGGGCAGGAATGGGAGGAATGGGCTTCCTCCTTCCTAGAATTCTGTTCTCATTGCCCCACCTCTGCTTCCTGTCTGGTTGACCTGCCTATACTTCTTGCCTGGCCAATCAGCATTTATTTAAAATATGATTGACAGAATACAGACAGTTCTCCTGCACCAATTTTCTTTTTGTATTCCATACTAATTTCAGCTTACAACACTCTTTCTTGTCTCCTGAATGGTAAGATTATGAAGTTCATGCAATTTTATGTGTTTTACTGCTTTTATTTATTTATTTATTTATTGGGACAGGGTTGCTCTGTGTAGCAGCTCTGGATGTCCTGGAGCTTGCTTTATAGAACAGACTGGCCTCCAGCTCACAGAGATCCTTCTACCTTTGCCTCCCAAGAACTTGATTAAAGACATGTGCCACTAAAACAGGGTGCTTTTATTCTCTTGGTTACCCTTTTAATATTTATGATACGTTTTTTTAATCCTTCAGTGACAGAAGAATTGTTATCTCTGTATTTAGTGCACTATTTTATGTATTTTGTGTAAACTTTTAAAAAATTAGTTGGGTATATAAAAAAGGAAAATGTCAATAAAAACTTCTATTTAATTTCAAAATGAAAAACCAGTACAGTATCATTTTATTTTATTTATAAAAAATGCAAAATCATTGTGCTTTAGTATTGTCATCTTTTAAGATGTAAAACTTTCTTAGAAATCAGTGATTGATTGTTTTACAAGGAGTGCTTTATAATTTGTTTTTCCCTTCTAATCCAAAAGGTGGCAATGAGAGCCTTGGGTTTTGATGTGAAAAAAGCTGATGTGCTGAAGATTCTTAAAGATTATGACAGAGAAGCCACAGGCAAAATCACCTTCCAAGATTTTAATGAAGTTGGTGTGTACTAAAGTAGTCTTCATAACCGGTAGTTGTTGGGAAACTATGAAATTTATGTTGGTTTTCAAAGAAAAATACTTTGACTTATACTGTGAAAATTAGTTTTAACTTTTGATGATTTTTAACAAGGAATTATTGTGTTACTTTTCTGGTTTATTAATATTATGTCACTAAAGTGTGACCAAAAATGACTTCTTGTCTGTAAAAGAAAAAGTAGCATGCTGATCCTGAGGAAATCTTCTGAAGATTGCTGCCCTGTGCAGTTTCTGTTGGCAAAGTGGGAGACGACAGAAGTAGTAGGACTCGGTGTCTTGTGGGAGAGGATGACTACATCTCCTTAGGTGCACAGTTTATGAGGCTCTGCATTCTTAACAACCTTAGTGATGCCTGTCATCTGTTGCTAAGCCGAGGCCACAGACAGGGTGTTGTGAGGCATCAATTTTGGCGATTTGATTTTAATGAGTCACTCATGATATATACAGATAAAGCTTTTTTAGTAGAGGATTCTGACCAAAACAAAAACAACCCCTCCCCCCTTACTTCAGTAGAGGATTCTGGAAGGCAGGAAATTGGCTATTGTAGCTTAAAGTTATTACCTACAATGTTATAAATAGATTGAATAAATATTTAGGTTCAGTTTTAGTAAGCTGCTGTTATAAAGCAAAGATAAAATTTAAAGATCATGAGCTAAGCATGCCATGCAGTCATTTGTATATATTTAAAAATTGAAAACTGATGCAATTATTTAAGTCTTAAAAGAGAAGTAATAGGGGCAAGAAAAAGAAATGGTAACAAGAAGACAGAAAACAAAGATTTATCTCGCTCTCATTAAAAAGCTCATACTGAAAGCACAGGAGGCAGAAGTAAAATGACAAATATAAGAGGAAGCAGCATTCTTCCTAACACAGAAGATCCTCAACTTAGGAGGCAGCGTTGACTGTTTAGAGAGGCAGATTTATTCCCCCCTTGAGCGGAGAGCAAGAACCACCTTTCCTCTAACAATATGGGTGGTCTGCTAAGGTGGATCCCAGGACCCAGGAGTCAGGACATGGTGGGGATGATGCGGCTGTGACAAAGCTATAATCAAGGCACATGCTGAGCATAGGCTGCTTGGGAGCCCGATTCCCTCCCTGCATTCCCCATCTTGGTTCTGACTACCAAGTGTCAGTGAACTTGATTAGTTTACTTGTCTGTGTGTCATATTCTTCTATAAAATGAGGATAATGTAATAATATATAAGGGTTATGTAGTTTATTAACATGGGAAATATTAAACACTACTGTATATTGGAAGAGCTATCAAATGCTGTTACTATGATTAAGAATAATCCCAGTACTCAGGAGGCAGAGGTAGCCCATGCTCTGAGTTTGTGGTTAGCCTGGTCTGCATATGGAGTCCCAGGCCAGCCAGGGCTACATAATGAGACCCTGTCTTCAAGAAAAAGAAAGGGTCAGGGAATGAGTCTTTTGTTCTGAATTCAGAAGTTGGAAATATATTTGTATTGTTGGGACATATTCTGTTCTGTATTCTTGTTGTCTTATTTCTGTTTTGTATTGTTGAAGGCTACTTAAAGCATTATTATTCATAGCTTTGTAAAAACATCTTTTGCATACATATAATTTTAAGAATTATAATTTTTATATTTTAGTATTTAAGAACAGAGTTCCATATTACCTAGATCTTATCTTTGTGGACCATTTGTTGTAGCCTAAGGACACTGTCCCATAGAATTCCAGATGAGCTTGGCACTTCCTGAGCTTTCTCCATTATAAGAAAAAAAGTCCATTCAGTGCAAGGGTAGTTAGCATCATTTGGGTAATGAGTAGCAGGTGTTTCAGGAATTGCTGCCTTTAAGGTAAGATTAGAAGTGAGATGTTTTTATACTTCTTCTGTTCCTGGCTTGTACTACTTACATTTTAAATTCTATCTAAAATACAATATTATATTGTTTTCATTTTGATTATTTATCCAACATAGAAATTTTTGCATTTGGTGGAAAAAATGGGAATTAGTTAAAATTACCAAGAAATTGTTTTTAGTACCTTAGGATTTGTGTGTGGACTCTGATTCTATGTGATAGAGGGAGATTGGTAGCGAGGACCAAAGTTGTCAGACTGTAGCCCTGGACTGAATTTGACTGCATACTCTGCTCTACCACCCATTTGTTCAGGCTGCTTTTCTGCTGCCATACTTGAGTGAGTAGTTTAGACTGTGGGCTTAAGTTCCCTGAAAACCTCAAATGTTTTTATCTGGCCCTTTACTGGAAATATCTCTCAAGGATTCAACTAGAGAAGTTAAATCTTTTCAAAGGGGACTTTTAATTTAAATCTTCAGGAATCTTAGATTCCCAGGAAGATTGTAGGAGTAGAGGAACTGCAGTCCAGGCACAGAAAGCAATGGTACTAGATGGTCAGCATGTTTGAGACGTTTGATCTCATGGAGTCTCCTCTGCTAGAGAAGGTCAGAGCGCTGGGAAGGCAGACTCAGGTCATATTGATGTCTTAGGTAATGTACTAAAGTTTACTTTAGTCAGCAGAACTTAAGGACTGGGATACCATGTTTTCCAAAAGTAGCTGATGAGAAGATTGGCAATGAGCCAACAAGAGTCTGGAGAAGACAGAAGGTTGACTTTATGGTCAGGATTGCTAGGATGAAAAGAAAGAGGGCTCTGTTGGAGAGTGAAACAAGATGGTGTCCTTAGAACTGTAGTATAAGTGACCCTCAATGGGATCGAAAGCATTACCATTATTTCAGAATGAGTAAATGATGTAGTTACCCTTCAGTCAGTGGAGGTCCGGGGCAACAAAGCCGATAGGTGGCTGGCGAAGAACTTGAAGGTCTGATATTTGTGAGTTTGAAATAAATATTGTATGTTTGGATAGGAACTTTCTAACAGTGTCTTTCATGGTTTTTGATTTAATGTAGTCCTTCAGAATTAGCTGTTACCTTACCTGATTTTTATAAGGTCTAATAACAACAGTGTAATTAAATCATCTATCTTTGTAGTTGGTTTTAGTGTGCTTTATGTCAATAAAGTCCAGTACTACAATATAAAAATCAAAAAAAGTGGTTGAATGGACAGAATTTGGAGTTTTGTTAAATAGTTGATACCTTCACTTTGTGGGTGTTAATTATTTTAAATCCTCCTACTGGATTGTAGGTGTGAGCCACAGTGCTTGGTTTGTTTCCATTGAAAAAGGTTTCTTGCAAAGAAATAGTACTTGTAGAACAGAAGTAGAAGGTGAAGGTGTGGAGGAATGTCACTGTAAAACACGTTATGTCGGGTAATGCTTTAGTTACTGAGAATTAGTGGCAGTTACAAGTCCGAAGAAATCTGCATTCTCTGGTAGAGAATTGGCAGGTGGATATATAGACACATCTCTGAAGTACCAGTAGAGTGTCGGTGGGATAGGACTGCACATCTTGGCTTCCCATCTGTTGTTCTTTAAGTGCATTAGGATTTCAGCAGTCTGCCTTTCTGGTTTACCTGTCATGTATGTTACTTAATCAATGAAGAAATTTCATAACACTTTTTTCTTGTCCTGCTTTCTTGTTGGGACTGAATTCAAAATAAGTTGAGTGTGTGCCATAGAGTTAAGTGTGGTATTTTATTTTGGTGTTATGGCTGTAGGTATGCCAATTCTTTTTATGAATATTTATGAGCTTTGATTTGCATACTTATAGTAATATACTTCAATTAGTTTCTTGGAAACCTTTTTTTGGATAAAATTAATGGCGAAAAGATAATTTTGGATTTACGTGTAGTTGATATACCATTAGCTTGACTAGGTGCTTACTCAGCCAAATGCAGATGAAATAGCAATAGACAACAACTTGTAGAAGACTTAAATTGTATTTTTCACTTTGGGCTCATTAAATATTCTGGTACTTTCTGGCTACAGGCATTTGAAATTTTCAAATGAATCTATAGATTCCAATAGGACCAAATTACTTTTGATGGTGTAATGAAAATAATAAATGCCTTTCCTTGTAGCAGAACAGCTTTGTTAAAAACGTTTCTTTTAATTCTAGTGACAGACTGGATATTGGAAAGAGACCCACATGAAGAGATACTGAAAGCATTTAAACTATTTGATGATGACGATTCAGGTAAAATAAGCCTGAGGAATTTGCGACGTGTTGCCAGAGAACTGGGCGAAAATATGAGTGATGAAGAACTTCGGGCTATGATAGAAGAATTTGATAAAGACGGTGATGGGGAAAGTAAGTGCTGGCCTCCTTGTTTTCTAAAATCTGTTGATTTTTCAAGACTCCAAGCAAATTTTCTCTCCCTCCACCTTTTCTTTTGCTTTTATTTTTGAAGATTAGCCGCGTGTTGCCTTGAGCTTATTTCAGGTTTAGTCTTGGACTTAGGATCCTTTTGCCTCAGCCACCAGAATAGATGGGAGTCCAGTTGGGTGCCAAACTCTGTGAACTTCTATTTGTACTGAAGCAGATCTTTAAAACACTATGTAATTTATAATATGAAATATACGTACTTCTCTGAAGACAAAATAGCCCCAAAATTTAGCTACTTACCAAAATTTTAGATTTTAATGCTTTCTCTCTATACCAGCTTGCACTTCTGAGCTATTACTAAATTAATTGATTTTTCTTTCAACCACTTTTACTTATTTATGTTTCTTATTGTCCTCTGCTGCTCTGATTCAGGCCCTGCTTTCTATTTAAAATATTACAGTATTCTTTCCCTAACTGCCTGTGAGATGCCATGTCTCTTAAAGCCTTCCAATTGCCACTCTTCATTGTATTGATAATATTTTTTTTTCTAAACTGTAGGCTACAATGATGTCATTTCTTTGTTCAGACCCTGGAGAGTCATTACTACCTGCAGAGTAAAGTACAAATCCTCCTACGCCAGTTCTATACTTAGTACCTGATTTGTTGCGTTGCATTCTTCTTTCCTGCGTCAACTTTATAGAACACTGTGTCCTGAAGACAGTTTGTGTTTGCATTTGCTCATGCTTCTTCATCTTAGGGCTGATTGCCTGTCTGTTGAAGTGTTACACATTTTCCCAACCAAGTCCATTTGAACACCATCTTTCTCTCAGAAGTCTCTGAAAGGGTACCTGTGGTTGGTGAGGGTTCCAGTGAGGCTCATAGCGTCTAGAGGAGCAAACTGGTTTGATACTTTATTTAATATGGATCCCCTTGGCTATAAACCAAGTTTTATATTTTTTCATTTTAAACTGCTGAAGATAAAAATACTTTGCTGCCTTTTTGTGACCTTTACTAACTCATTTGGTCTTATAAATGTTTAATGCTATCCAGTTTTTAACAATAACAATTTTTCTTAACTTTATGGGGTTTAAGTAATAAAGACAGTGAATGTGGATATAAAGATAAATAATGTATAGTACAAAATAGACATAGGCCTATAGGCATATCTGATAATATAGAAGGAATAGTACCCCAGTCTGTCAATATAAGTATAAATAATATAAAACAAAATGCAGTATGTACTTTAGTAAAGATAAATGCAACATTTAAGAAGCCATAGTAGACTCCTTTTTAAATAATGATGATAATGATGGTTGGTGTCTTAGGGTTACTGTGGCTGTGATGAAACACCATGGCCAAAAGCAACTTGAGGAGGAAAGGGTTTATTTGAACTACATATCTTGAATCATAGTCCATTGAGGGAAGCCACGGCAGGAACTCAAAGTAGAAAGGAACCTGGAAGCAGGAGCTGATACAGAGGGCATGGAGGATTGCTTTCCAAAGGGAAGAACCAGGAACAGTCACATTCTGAAAAGGAAAACCAAACTCCCAGCTCTGTAAATAACCCAGTATCTAATGTTGGGATCCGTCCACTTAGAGTCATCTGGGTTCCTCCAAAGGCCTGGTCAATGTCTCTGGGTCACATCTGCAGCCCACAGATTATCTCCTGAACTCAAGCCAGCGCCACTCAAGGCTGCTGCTGCTCTTTGTTTTCATGTCCTGATACTTGTGTCTTCAGACTTTTGGGGTCTTTTGCTGCAATTGAGCTGCACTTCACCAATGGCCTCTGTCTTCAGGGCTCCAGCCCTGCCACACAGTGCCAATTGTCAGCTGCTCTCCGTGTCCTTTCATGCCTTCAAAATCTGTGCCACCTGGGGGATCTTACATCAGACAAAGTTGGCCTGCCAGCACAAGGTACAACCTTGACACCTCTGAACCACAGCTTCTGTGTGCTGAGGAAACACTTTGTAGAAGACCTCACTCCAGGATGCTGCTCGCTTCTTAATCTCCACCAAGCTGGCCAGTGTCCATTATCCCAGCAGAGCGAAGGTTTTGCTAAAGCGGTTTTAGTGGTTTCACCTTAGTGGTTTTGGTATTTTGTTAACCATAGCTCATTCTTCAGCCGCATCTAACCAGAACCACATATGCTTAACTCAGAATATTCAACAACCTCAACAGAGTCTTTGATTCTCAAACTTCCTTCTGGACGTTCACAAGCCAGACCTCCATCACCTGCTTATCTTCCACTCTCCCGCAGAACAGCTCACTAAGCTTTGAACACTCATTGGCTTTTCTAACCCAGAGTTCCAAAGCCCTTCCACAGTCCTTGCCAAAACAATGCTTTCGGGTCTCTCACAGTAAAACCCACTCTCCTGTTACCAGTTTCTCTCTTAGGGTCACTCTTGCTGTGATGAAACAGCATGATCAAGAACAGCATGGGGAGGAATTTAACTCACATAACTTGAGTCACAGATCCTGTGTGTGTGTATGAATATGTGTGTATATATACATGTTTATACACACAGTTATCTATACATCCACCACATATTCACACACACACACACACACACACACACACACACACACGTCTGTGTATGTGTGTTTGGGAGTCATTTCTCAAACTGTCTTGTCTCTGTTCCTGGGCTGCGTGCTGCAGCCTAGCTGACCTGTGAGGAGTCTCCCATTTCTGTAGGATTGCTGAGACTTTCATTCCTTTCCATTCAGCCTTTTCCCTGGTTCTGAATCGTCAGGCGGAGCTGTGTTCTTGACCACTCAGGTTTTTTATTTTTGAGCTAATGTTAATCTTGAGAAAGATTGTGCTACAAGAAGTCATTTACCATCTGAAGCCTCTCTGGTAGTCAAGTATCTAAGATTGGTCCCCTTAGTTACTTTCTGTTTTTTACTTTTTTGAACCTATGTTTTTAGACATTAAGTCATAAAAAGATTTAAATATTTTCAAAATGCTTTTATACTTTAAAGTATATGTAAATAATATAAAACAACTATTTGTGATTTTGGAACTTCTATTTGAAGCTTAATTTGAAATTTGATTATTGAAATTTTATATTTTAAGAAAAGTGAAAATTGAGTAAAGCAATTACTTCTTAGAAATTGGGTATTTTAATCATAATTCTTTTATATATGATTTATAATCAGATCATTTTGGGGCTACTTTTATTGTTTTCTCGAGAAGATAACACTTTTTGTGTTGGTCTGGCAGCCTCGGTGTGTGTAGATGGCTTCAGTTAAGAGTTTTAGATAAGACCCCTGGTTTAGGGTTCTTGCCTATTTGAATTCTTAGTTGGGGGAGAACGGGTCTTCTTCTCACAAGCTCTTCAGATGTGTTCTTTAGCCACAGAAGTCACTACTCCAGTTTCTCAGATCCCAGAATGCCTTGTAAGTGTTTAGGACTGAACAGGAGTTCATGGATGTCTGCCTCTTCTGAACATCTCATTCATCTTTAATTCATAGTTTATTTTTGTAGGTATTTGCTCCCTTTCTGTGCTTGCAATGGTATTTCCCTACCTTGGCGTTTCCCTATTTCCTTCTAAATGCTGTATTTCTAATGTACTGTCTGATCTGTGATTTGCTGATATCTAAAATTTTCTCATTAATGATTTCTTCCACAGTGGTATTTTCCAGTACGGTCTGATCCATATTTTATAATAAGTTATTTTGTGTTTCAAGCATTTGTTCTCTGTTTCAGACCTAACATAATTATTGAACTATCTCTGGAATTAATGTACTAATTTCTGATATATATGCTTTAACTCAACATTTTCTAGGTCACTTTCTTTATCCACATATGAAGAACATGACTCTACTGTTTGAACAATGACTAAGAATAAAATCTTTCAAATTTATGATACCATTGTGTCTTTGAATTAGCAAGGATTTTATAGTGACATCTATTCACTTCTTCTGTTCGATTCAGGATAGGAACCCTGTATATGTTTTGATGCATTATACAGTACTATGTGTGGTGTTGCATTTATTAGACACCTGAAAATGTTTGATTGAGTAAATCACTGTCTAGGATTTAAAGAGAAACAGTCTAAAAACATCCTCATTGAGTTTACTTTTTAGACAAAGGAGATGACATACAGAACTGTTTTGTACAGAGCCGTGGCTAGAAGCCAGGTCTTTATTTTCAGTGTGGTGGTTTTGTGCCATAATAAAAATTGCCACCCATAACTTATGCCTTAAAGGACTTATTAAGTCTTGACGTGCATATACTCACTTGCTGTATATAGGAAACTTTCTTTTGTGAACATTCCTGTATGTGAGGGTGTGTACTCACATACACCTACTTTAGATTCATATTTAAGATTGCTCAGTCCTGTTTATTACAGGTTGCTGGCATAAATATACTTAAAACATTTAAGTTTCTTACTAAATTTTATTTATAATTTTAGTAAAGTGCCAGATAATTATCATACGTGACTATTTCCTGTATTCTTGTTTTATAGTTGCTATATAATAATCTGTATTTTATCAAGTTATTTCTATTAATGCTTTTAAGGTTACATGACTTGGTTTCAGTCATTTCTTTCTTCAAAATAAGCTTTAAAATCAACAATTTGCCATTTTTTTCTAGTTTGAAAATATTTTCTTTCTTTAGAATTCTGTTAGTTCACATGTGTGGTATAGGCAGATTGACTTATGAAGGAAGCCTTCCTAAATGTGTTAGTAAAGATTATAAAGATGGTTGTTAAACTACTTACATTAGAACTGTCACTTTTTAAACTGTTTCTGCACAAACGATATGTACGTGACTGACTTTTATGGTAACATATCATCTGTTGTCCCTACTTAATGTGATAAGATGCTCACTTATTTAGAATTTATGTTTGGACTTGTAAGATTTTTGTATGTTGAAAAGTTTAATACATTATGAAGTGATGGTTCCTTGGGGAAAGAAAGTTTCTGTGTCTCTGACCATTATATTGTCTTTTTTGCCACAGTAAATCAAGAGGAATTCATTGCTATTATGACCGGTGACATATAAAGGATTGCGAGAATCAACACCAAAATGTTGCAGTTGTCATCTGTATTCCCTTTATGTGACTAAAGTCCTGTTTAAAAAAAAAAAAAAAAAAAAAACAAACCAATTTAGTCCTTTCTCCACAAGGACCAAAGCTAAGCACCCTTTGTATTTATTTCACTGCGGCTGAGTTTCTCTGTATGATCAATGTTGTTCGCATCGACAGTTTTAACTTCAAATTGATAATGCAGCTCTATATAAAGCTTAAAAATATCAATGTAGTGTATATTATTTGGAGGCTTCTAAATTTAGCATTAGCTATTTTTATTTTGATGCACATGTTTTTTAGACACTTATTAATAAAATTCTTATTTTATTAGTATGTTAAGTTTGGTAAACTTTCTATTTTAGATTTCTGGTATCTGTTAACACTTAGAATATATTTTTAAATCTTTAGTCTTTACACTTTCACTTGTATTTGAGAATAAATCAGAAAATATACATGATAATAGAATAGAACATTTGTCCATGCTCTGAGGTTTCATTAAGCTTGACATTTCTCACTTCAGTACAGGAATATATATATATGTATGTATGTGTGTGTATATATATATAATGTCGGATTTCTTCCTAAGTCTGCTGTCCTTCAGTTCAGAGGACTATGGATTGTGTATATAGGCCCATCTTTTCTTTCTACAATGTTTTAGAAATCTGATTTTGTAATGACAAGTTGAGCTTGAATAGAGTTGTAACCATTTAACTTCTTGGCAAAGTGAAAAATGAAAATTTTGGATTTTATTGTGGTAAATCAATAAGGAAAAGAGAAAACACTAGCCCTAGAAAACACTGTGGGTTTTGTTTTTCCATGATGTATCGAGAAATCGTGGAGATAGACTCTCCAGGTATTAATGGGGCATTCTGCCTTCTTGAAGGTAGGGGCAAACAAAGGATTATGGGAAATGGTACCCCAGCACATCTCCAGCAATCCAGTTCTCGTTATATGAGCTTTCCTAAGAAGAGCGTTGCGTTTTTAGGTTCAGTGGCTTTCTTCTTTTAACAAAGAAGAAAGTCAATACAATTTGTGACAGTTGAGATACTTTCAGCCTGCTAGCATAGTTCAAATAAGTAAAGCCTGGGCTTTATTTTATCTGAGCTATGTGTGAAAGTTGCCCCAGTGACAAACACTCAAAGTATAAAGTGTAATTAGTTATTATGTAATTGTATATAAAGTCTGTTACCTTTTTATTAGAACTTAAGAAATTACAAATTTTATAGTGAGACTACGTAAACAGTTCTCACTGTGCAGTGAATTTTATGAGGATGACATTTTACAGAATTGAAGATCAGCAGGTTACCTTCATTTTATAAATTAACAATATTTTAGAATATATTTTCCTTATTCCATAAGAATAGAAATCAGGGATACTTAATAGAATCCCTGGAGGTCGACATTTCTGGTTTTAATATGCTTGTAACATTTGTCCAGCACACTACTGTGTTCTCTAAAAAAAGCGGCCATTTTCTCTGTATGGCATTACCATGACTGCCTGTCCCCAGGGTCTTCCAAAAGGTCTGTACACACCTGACAGCAAGGAAAGGCATGTGCTGTAGCACATGGGTTCTCGTGATACTGATGAAAGCCTACTTCTGATAGATGGCACTTTAGAATAAAAACCACACAGTGTACATCAACTAAATGCTGAGTGATAAAAATATTTCCAAAGCACGTTTTCTACTGTTGAAAGCCTCTGCAAATTTAACAGCAGGGTAAAGGTTTGGGGCTGGCCTACTGAGAAGTAATCTTTCATTATAAAATGTGCATTTTGATTATTCTCAAAGTTCATGCATTTACAGTCTTTGCCAAGAGGTAGATACAACCATAGTTTAAGCACGATCTACATTTCCATTGCCTTTTCTATGAAGATTAAGTGTTCAATTAAATCTGAGTAACTGGCCCAACTACACTTTATGGGAGATTTCTTCTGTAACAATCTTGCTGGGTGATAATTGTTCGGAACCTAAATCCCAAGGGATAGTGGAATAATTTTCAACAATATAAGAACAAAGTAACTTCTTTAAGATTAGTTGGGAGGAAGATTTAAGATTTGTATTTTAAGATTTCAAATTTAATTGACTTCACCACTGTGCAAAAGGTTAATAAAAGGGAGGGGGATTTTTTTAAACTAGAAAAATAACTAGATCTCATTTGGAGAAAATTAAAATTGTGTTGTCAAAAATAATTTGTGAATTGAAAAGACAAATGAAAATATAAGCTGTTAAAATTAGACTTACTATGTAGTTTAAATTATTGGCCCATGAGCCCAATTGTATACAATTCTGTTATTATTTATATTTCTGTAATTATCTTAGAAAGTCTCTCGGAACCTTTTAAGTACATAGACCTAGAATAGCTAGGGTTTAGAGGTAAATTATTATTATTATTTAATCCTAGGGATCAGACCCAGCACCTGGTGCACACTAGGCAGGCCCTCTACCACTGAGATGTCGGTGGGGTTGGTAGAGTGGGGACTGGCGAAAGTCACAGGGGAATAGGAAGCCTGGTGGGACTCTGATGGCAGAGAAAGGACTGCCAAGTCATTACTGGCCTGTGGGCTCAAGTGGTTTGCGTCTGAACTTGGATGTCTGAGGTCCCTGATGCACTGGAGGTAAGAATTTTAAGTTTCGATTAATTTGAGTATTTATACAAGTCCTCCATTTGGAGGAATTATAATCTGAGGGTTTCTATGAATCATACACTACTAACAGCTGGTTGAAATAAGTTTAAAAATGATGATCTGTATATTTAGCTACTTGGGTAGTTAGTAAGGTCCAGAGGTTTTGTTTATTTTTCAGTTGTCAAGATCCCTTTGCTTCCTACCATCTAGTAAGGTCTCCACTTTTAAATGGCTAATTGAGATTAAAAATAAAAGACAAAAATTCTTAAAAACTTACTTTCCATTTTATAATGTATACTTTCTTTTTTTTTCAAAAATAGGCTAGTGGCAAATTTCACAGATGTATTAGGAATATTAAAAATAAAATGCCAACTACAATGAGAAGAACAAATACAACTTTCGTTATTTGAGGTCGGTTAAAGGAATCTTCAGACAACCACAGTTAGACAGTAGAGACCGCCAGATTTCAGGTCTCCAGGATCAAACCGTTGGCCTTCAGAGGGTTCCTCTCTGCTTTCTGCCGCTGCAAAGTGTTCCCATCAGCTTGTTCCAGTACTCCAAATTTAGGGAAAAGATGAGAGCCTCGAGGTAATAGAGCTTGGAGTAGAATGTGACCTACAGTATGTTTGTAGAGTGCCAGTCACATACTCATGGCTCAGTGACATACTTCATACACCACAGAAGCATGAGCCAGACATGGTGGTTCTTGCTGCTGATACCAGTACTCAGGCCAATGCAGGATTGCTATGAGTTTGAGATCGATTGTGCCTCAGTGAATTTCAGGCCAACCTGAGCTACAGAGTTGGCTGTAGTTCAGTCCCATCCTCTCCAAATATGCTAAGATTTTATATTATTTGACCTACTCTCTTTAAATATGACTCAGGGATTCTGGTGGGTTAAGCTCCAGATTAGCTGTATGAGTAACTCCCCAGGGCTGCCTCTCTGACTAAGGGAAGCCAGATTCAGGCTGATGTAGCAGAAGGCACCTGCAGATATTGAGCAACAATAGGACCATGGCCCGGAGAAGACTGCCAACTATTGACTGCTCTGAGTTCAAGGGATTTGCATTTATTTCCACAGATAAGGGCTGTTCGGGTTCTCCAGGTCCTTTTAGGATACAAGAAGCAGTTTAATCTTCTGAGAATTTCTGTTGTTGCTCTGAGCTGGCAACACATGTTGATTTGCAAAAGGGTACAGAATGAAGCCCGAGTTTGACAATGCTTTGAAGCGGTTGAACTTCTGGGTGGGCGTCCCATAACTGATGAAATGAATGGGAACATGTGTTTCTGATTTCACTTCCAAAACTTCTGTTCCCATCATCCATAGGAGTTGGCACACGTAGCTCTGATATTTAGGATAGAATATTGCCCAGTGTAACCTAAAAATGCACACAATCTCTTGGTGATTATCGTGGAAGTTTTCAGTGAGCAATGACACTTCTGTCTCACTTAAGAATCATTTGTCTTATATGGACAAGACTATAGACCAAGTACAACAAGTCTTGGCTAGATATCCGTAAATCTAGCTTTAAAAGACATGTGCATTGTAGATTGTGTTAACGCTTCATTGCAGGTTTGTTTGGGGGAGTTCTTAGGGTAAAGGTAGTTTGATTTCTGCAATTCTGAGTATTAAGTACAAATTTACATGTAGAGATGATACGTCAACCTTTATCCTGCCCTCTGTCTTCATCAGGCATCGTTTCTCTTCCAACTTTCACTACACGGTTGTTCCAAGAAGAATAGCACCTTATCAGTGCTCACACTGGAACTGTTATTTGGAACCACAGAAAAATGGGACACATATATTCTCAGTCTCCACCAGGGGGACCTATTGCTGCAACTAAAAAAAAAAATCTGAGGGAGAACTTGGCATTTTGTGAGACAGTTATATGCTATTATAGTTTTTATTTTGTTTGTGTTTTATGTTGTTGGGGATTGAAATAAGAGCCTTGTGTATGCTAGGCAAGTGCTCACACACTGAGCTATACCCAGCACTACAGATGTTATTTTTAAAAAATGTATACACCTGTTTGAAAAAAAAACTTTTATATTCCACATAATGGTATTTCATGTTCTTTTACCCTACAGAATATGTAATTAGATATACAAATAATCTGAGGCTTTTGTTATTTGTTAGTGCCAATCTTTTTAAGTAGGATAATTATGAGATCAAGGTATAGTAAGTCTTTGAGAATAAATTTATATTTAAAATATTACATAATTACATGTAGAAAACAAGAAAAATATTTAAAAATAGTTTCTAACTTTTCCTAATTCACTATATTTTATTCCGTTTGTCTGACATGTAAAATGTTTTTTCTGAAACATTTCATACGATTTATACTGACAAAAATGGGCAAGATCTATAACCACAAAATGAGTAAATTCACATCCCCCATACTTTTAGTTATGAGGACATTTTATTTTGTGATTTTAGAGTTTATGTAGTTCTCAGTACAAGTACTCTGTTAGTTTATACTCTTTTTAATATTCTCTATTTTTATGGTTGAAATATTGTTCGTGAGAAGCCTCTAATTTTTATATTGCATGTGTTCTTACCGGACTCATCTGACCAGCTCCATCCCGAGTCTATTGATTAGAAACACTTTATGTTTGTGAGCATAGCGAAGTGTCCTTTCCCTCCTTTTCAGATGAGGAAATGGGGCAAAGAATGATCACAGTCTTTGGCTAATGTGACATTTTCTGCCTAGTGA